TATATTATTAATGTATTATATAATATAAATTATAATATATTATATTATACATTATATATTATATATAAATTATAATTTATAATTATAATAATATAAACATATTATATTATAGTAATGTTATAATATATTACATAATAGATGTAATAAAAATTATATAAACATATATATTGTATACATAATTTATATATAATATATATTTATATATATAATATATATTTATATATATAAGTAATATATATTTACATAAATTATATATATATTAATAAAGTATATGTATTATAGAATAACTTATATAAAAGAATAACTTATATATAAGAATAACTTATATATAAGAATAACATATAAAATATTTATTATATAATGAATATAATAAAAATTATATATAAAGAAATATGGGAAAGGAGGTAGCTTAGATCCCTTGTTTTGAAGGAAGATGGATTTGGAGTTCACTTTTTGGAAAAAAAAAGAAGTTATTCTCCTTGTTCTTCTTTCTGTTTTAGCTTCAGAGAGGTCACATAATTATACGAAAGCAAATAATGTTCTCTCAGGTCCTTCTGTGCTCAACCTTCAAAAGGGAACAGAAAGTCCAGGAAAAACAAATTTTCCTTTGTCCATTCAGCGCAGTGTTGAAGGCACAGAACTTTTGGGGTCAGCAGAAGAACCTTCAGAAAGCTGGAGATGTTTGGACAGAACCTGTTACAAACCAAACCCTTCCAGCAGCTCCAGGGGCAGAGCAGTCCCAGCTCAGGGAGAGCAGTCCCAGCTCAGGGAGAGCAATCCCAGCTCAGGGAGAGCAGTCCCAGCTCAGGGAGAGCCCAGATTAGTTGGGCAGGAAGATTCTCCCAGGGCTGGAGCCCCTCTCCTCTGGAGCCAGGCTGGGAGAGCTGGGAGGGTTCACCTGGAGAAGAGAAGGATCCAGGGAGACCTTGGAGCTCCTTCCAGGGCCTAAAGGGGCTCCAGGAGAGCTGGAGAGGGACTGGGGACAAGGGATGGAGGGACAGGACACAAGGAATGGCTTCAAACTGACAGAGGGCAGGGTTAGATGGGATATTGGGAAGAAATTCCTGGCTGTGAGGGTGCTGAGGCCCTGGGATAGAATTCCCAGAGAAGCTGTGGCTGCCCCTGGATCCCTGGAAGTGTCCAAGGTCAGGTTGGACAGGGCTTGGAGCAACCTGGGCTGGTGGAAGGTGTCCCTGCCCATTGCAGGGGGTGGAATGAGATGATCCTTAAGGGCCTTTCCAGCCCAAACCCTGGTGTGGTTCTGTCCCACCTTGGGAAGGGTCTGCAGGAGGCACCTCCCCTGAGCCCATCCCAGCCCAGCTCTGCCTCGGGCTGGAAAACAAGGAATGGGGACTGGAGAGCAAGGAAGGGTCTGGAGAGTAAGAGAGGGACAACCTGGGAGGTTGGAAGGTGTCCCTGCCCATGGCAGGGGGAGGAACTGGAGGGTCTTTGAGGTCCCTCCCAACCCAAACCATTGTGTGATTCCATCATTCTCTTAATCAGCAGCAGGAGACTCTGATTTCACTGGAGCTGGGATTTCACTGGAGCTGGGATTTCACCCGGCACCACCTGGAAGCGCAGCAGTGAGGGAAGCCTAATTAAATCCTGCACATGCACCAAGCCCAGCTCAGAGCTGCACATCCCTGGGTGGTGTTGGGGAGAAAAACTTTGGAAGATTTGCTCCTGGGCTGCAATTCCCCTCCTTCCTCTTTCTTCCTGGGGGAATTAATATGGGACAGGCAGGTCTCTTCTGGTCCTCTCACTGTGTCACGCCCCTGCAAGGTCAGGTGTCAACACGTGGTCTCACTTCTGTAACAAGGCCTCCCTTGCTTTCACAGAATCCCAGAGTCATCAAGGCTGGGAGAGACCTTCAGGATCATCAGTCCCACCCCAGCACTACCAGGATCACCCCTAATCCATGTCCCCAAGGGACACATCCAGACACCTCTGGAACACTCCCAGACACAGGGACCCCATCACCTCCCTGGGACACTTATTCCAAGGCCTGACCACTCTGGCAGGAAAAAAAGTGTCCCTGCCCATGGCAGGGGGTTGGAACTGGGTGATCTTTAGGGTCCCTTCCAACCCAAACCGGTCTGGGATTCTACGATTCCATGATTTTATGAAATCCACGTTCTGGGCTTTCAACAGGATATGTGGGAAACTGGAGCATCTTGGAGCTGCCAGGTCCAGCTGTGCCAAGGTGGGAATCAGGTCTGACGTTCCTGCAGGTTTAATCACTGGGCTGTTGTATGGGGGGCTGTAATTTCCCTCCAGGTCTGTGGGACTGAAGGAATCCTGGAGGAATCCTGGAGGAATCCTGGAGGAATCCACCACCAGCTCTGGTGTGACAAGCATAGACAAAGACTTGTCCTCCCTCACCCAGAGCTCCTGGGGACTAAATGTCCTCCAGCTTCCTAAAGCACAGAGGAAACGGCCTTAAATTGCACCAGGACAGGTTCAGATTAGGAATTAGAAACAATTTTTCCCTGCAGGAGTGGTCAGGCCTTGGAATAAGTGTCCCAGGGAGGTGGTGGAGTCCCTGTGTCTGGAAGTGTTCCAGAGGTGTCTGGATGTGGCCCTTGGGGACATGGATTGGGGGTGATCCTGGTGCTGCTGGGTGAAGGTGGGACTGGATATTGAAGGTCTCTTCCAGCCTTGGTGATCCTGGGATCAGTGGGAGCTCTCCTGTGCTGGGATCAGCAAAATGTCCCCTGACAGCGTTGACATCACTGGGGATGTAATTTGAGGGCAGGGTTAGATGGGATACTGGGAGGGAATTCTTGGCTGCGAGAGTGGGGAGGCCCTGGGATAGAATTCCCAGAGAAGCCGTGGTTGCCCCTGGATCCCTGGAAGTGTCCAAGGCCAGGTTGGACGGGGCTTGGAGCAACCTGGGCTGGTGGAAGGTGTCTCTGCCCATGGCAGGGGAATGGCACTGGATGATCTTTAAAGTCCCTTCCGACCCAACCCCTGCTGGATTCTGTGTAAACACCCAGCAGTTCTGTGTCTCCTGGGGCTGCAGGAGCTGCCCAGCCCTGCAGGGAGGGCCCTGCTCTGAGTAGGAGTTAAAACACAACGGCAGCTTTTGACCAGCTCTGACATTTGCCACCTACAAAACAAGACTATTCTAACAAGAAACAAGACTTCTCTATTTCTAACCCAGCATTTCTAAAAGTTCTCACCCCCTGGCAATGCTTCAGTTCCAATTCTGGTTCTCCCTCCCAAGAAAACCAGTGTTTGTGGCAGTGCCAGAGGCAGAAGGCACAGGGAGCTGTCCGAGGAGATTCCTCCAGGTTTCTAGGGAGAACCAGAAGGTTTAGGAAGTCCCTTCCATGCATCCCTCCAGCTCTTTCCTGCTCCAGCACAGGCACTTGTTTCCAGCCATCGAGCTCTTCGTGAAGGTGAGCCCTGTACAGCTCTAAGTTTGTTCATTGAGGGATTTTTGGGATATTTGAGATTCCTTTGACAGCACTGAGGGAGCTGAAACGACAGGCAGAGCTGGTTTCATGCGTGTGTCTTCTTGGCTTATGAGGGCTGCAAACCTTAATGGATTAACCTGTTAACTGAATAAATGATACACTTGGGGTTTTTTATACTTCTACCCCTTATATTTAATCTAAATTTCAAAGCTGGGCATCAGGGGAATTGTGTGAAGGGCTTAAAAATTAGATCCTGATCTCTTCCAACAAGTGAAGCCTCACTCAGGCAGCAGCAACTCCGCAAGACTTTGCCTCATTTTAACAAACCCTTTAAACAAACCCTTCAACAAAATCCAACACAAAAGACACGAGGGCAACACCTCTGTGGCCACACAGAGTTTCTCCTCTTCCTTCCCTCCTTCTCCAGGGCTCCCACAGTCCTTTATTTTGAAATTCTTAACGAACTGATTTATTCTCTTTCAGTGATTTAGACATTCCACCTCCATTTAGGCTGGCAAATCTTTGTTTCCCGTGACCATAAACTGATTTAATTCCTCGCTGTGACGTGGGGGGGTTATGTTCACTCACACAAACGAGGTGGGGGCTCTTTCCTCCCCCTCTGGAGGGCTGATGTGATTTCCCTTTTGTTTCCCAACTTGTGGCACGTCCATCCTGCATTTGAATGGAAAACAAGATCTCCCAGAGGACAGGGTTCCTCATCATCTCTCTGTGCATGTCTGGAGAAGGACAGAAAGACATTTTGCAAGAAATTACCTACTAGTAGAGACAAGTAACGTGCTGCACACTCACAGATCCGGGTTTTCTGCTTCCCTGCCCTCAAAATTTTTTATCATCACATACAGAACTCCTTATTTTTCCAACTGCAGGCTGGCAGCGATGGGGAAAGTATTGGAAACTGCCCCTTCTCTCAGCGCCTCTTCATGATCCTGTGGCTGAAAGGGGTCATATTCAACGTCACCACCGTGGATTTGAAAAGGTGAGGTCGTGGCTCTCGGATCGAACTTTTTGGGATTTGAACTTTCCACAGCAACTCTTCCAAAAAACCAGGGATTTTTAAAGGGCCACTCTTTCTACCGGGCTGGGAGAGCTGGGGGTGTTCAGCTTGTGGAAGGGAAGGCTCTGGGGAGACCTTAGAGGTCTTTCCAGTCCTTAAAGGGGGTTATAAAAAGAGGGACTTTTTATATGGGCAGAGACAAGGGGGAATGGCCTTGAGCTGAAGGAGGGCAGGGTCTGATGGGATATTGGGAAGGAATTCCTGGCTGGTAGGGTGGTGAGGCCCTGGCCCAGGTTGGCCAGAGAAGCTGTGGCTGCCCCTGGATCCCTGGAAGTGTCCAAGGCCAGGTTGGAGGCTCCCTGCCCATGGCAGGGGGTGGAACTGGATGATCTTTCAGCCCAAACCATCTTGTGATTCTTTGATTTTAAATGTTGGTTCGTGGCACTTCAGTGTAGAAATTGCAGCTGTGGTTCCTGGTGGGATTAACCCCTTCTCTTCACACCCCAGAAAACCTGCAGACCTGCAGAACCTGGCCCCGGGCACCAACCCCCCCTTCATGACCTTCGACGGCGAAGTGAAAACCGACGTCAACAAGATCGAGGAATTCTTGGAAGAGAAGCTGGTGCCACCCCGGTACCGTGTCCCCCGTCCCCTCAGGGCCCTCCACGGGGGTCTGTGATCAAACCCCCTCAGTTTTGGGGGGTCAGGCCCTCAGGGAGCTGCACCTGTGTGTGTGTGAGGCTCGAAGGGGCTGGTTTGGGTGACAGGGAGAGGGGCAACTTTGGCTGGTGTGGAACAGAACTGAAGCCAGGGGTGTCCCTGGGGTGTCCCAAGGGACAGGACAAGAGGAAACGGCCTTAAATTGCACCAGGGCAGGTTCAGATGAGAGATTAGAAACAATTTTTCCCTGCAGGAGTGGTCAGGCCTTGGAATAAGTGTCCCAGGGAGGTGGTGGAGTCCCTGTGGCTGGGAGTGTTCCAGAGGTGTCTGGATGTGGCCCTTGGGGACACGGATTAGGGGTGATTGTGGTGGTGCTGAGGTGGGACTGGATGATCCTGGAGGTCTCTCCCAGCCTTGATGGTTCTGGGATTCTCTGAAGCAAAGGGCAGAGAACATCTCCCACACTCCAGACACATTTCAAGTGTCCAGGTGGGCCCATCTTGCTGCACAGGAGAGTCTTTGAGGTTTTGATCTGTCCTTCCCCACCCCAGCAGCTCTTCCCAAACCCTGCTGCCCCTCCACTAGCAGCTCTGTGTCCCTGCCCTCACACCTTTTCCCCCAGGGCTTAAAACAAGGGATTTTTAGTTTAGGGTGGTTCCCTTTGAGCACTGTTCGGTCATCCCGAAGTGTAAATAAATGTGTGAATTAGTGGAGCTGAAAGCAAAGGCTAATTATCCAACTTGGTCTGTTTTAACCCCTCAGGTATCCCAAACTTGCCCCCAAGCACCCCGAGTCCAACTCTGCGGGAAATGACGTGTTTGCCAAGTTCTCTGCGTTCATAAAGAACCCGAGAAAAGATGCAAATGAAAGTAAGTGCTGCAGTCGTGTCCTGAGCCCTGGGAGAGGGGAACCAGAGCTGTGCAATTCCAGGACACTGTGCTGGAGGTGTCCCACTTCCAGCTCAGTGGTTTTCCAGAGGCTGTGGGAATCTGTGTCTTAACTGAGGATTCCCAAGGTTGGTTAAAGCAGATAGAGCTGTAACCATGGGAGCACCAATTCCAGCCTCTCCTCATTCCTTCAGCTCCCAGGGAATGCTGGAGCTGCCCCACAGCTTTGCCAAAAGCACAACCCCCTGGAACCAGGGGGGTTCTTACTCCATTTCCATTTAAAATGAGGATTCCAGCCCCAGGTCTCTAGAGCAGGACCCTCACGACCACCACACGTGGCCTTAAGCTGAAGGAGGGCAGGGTTAGATTGGATATTAGGGAGAAATTCTTCCCTGGGAGGGGTGTGAGGCCCTGGCACAGGTTGGTTGTGGTCTCCCCATCCCTGGAAGTGTTCAAGGCCAGGTTTAGAACAACCAGGTCTAGTTTAAGACGTCCCTGCCCACGGCATGGGGTTGGAACGGGACGAACTTTTACGGTCCTTTCCAACCCAAACCATTCTGGGATTCTCTCTCTCTCTGTGCTCCAGCTCTCAGGCCTGTTCACTGGGCTGGTTTTGAACACCCCAAAGTGGCATCCTGGTGGCTTCTTTTCCTTCCCATGGGCCAGCACTGGCCCCGTGGCTCCCGAGGCAGGAGCCGGTGCGAAGGCAGAGCCAAATCCCGCTCCACGGCGGGGCTGGAGGAGCCATTCCTGGTAACTCAGCCCCACGCTGGTTTTTCTCAGATCTCCCCCCCTGAGCTCTTTAGAGCTCTTATCCCAGCATTAAGTGTTAAGCTCGGGATAAAGGAATTGCAGGCGTTGGCAGGGCCAGCTGCCCACGAGCTGGGTGGGTGCCAGGAGACAGGATGCAGGAGGCGCCTTTCTGCTCCGTGTCAGCGAGACCTTGGTACGGGCCCGACTGATCTTTTGATTGTCTTTACCCAGATTTGGAAAAGTCTCTGCTGAAAGCCCTGAGGAAGCTGGACAACTATTTAAACAGCCCCCTGCCTGACGAAATCGATGCTTACAGCACGGAGGAGATCACCGTTTCCAGCCGGAAATTCCTGGATGGAGATGAGCTCACTTTAGCCGATTGCAACCTCCTACCAAAGCTCCACATAATCAAGGTTTGCATGTGCCTTTTTAGCTCCCTGCACAGCAGCTCCAGTCCTTTTCTGGAAGGCAGAGGGATCCCTTCTCTATTCCAAGGCCACCCAGTAGCCGTGTGGGGACACCGAAGCCGTTTCCTCGCAGGCAGATCCTCGCATTGATGACTCTGGATCTGGAATCCCTGTTTTCCTGTCTGGGCTGTGCCTGCAGTCTCTGAGCTGCTCACAAGGTTGAAATGAGTGTGGGATTCAGGGCTGCAGAGAAATGTTCTCGTTTGCATTTCATATGCAAAGTGCACGTGACCACGGCCAAGGAAGGTTATGTTTTATTGTCCATTCCAATTCCCGTCTCTCCCGCGTTTGATCCCAAGCTCTGGCTTTGCTGAGCATCCCCACATGGACCAGTCAGGCTGACAGGGTGGCCACCACCCACTGCCTCCCAGCCAAGGCTCCCAACCTCTTCTTGTAGCACTGTGGAACACCCACACACCCCAAAGAGTCCCTGTGACCTGGGACTGGTGTTGGCACAGCCCATCCCTGGGTTACTCCAAAAAGCTGGAGAGGGACTTTTCACAAGGGCAGGGAGTGACAGGACAAGGGGGAATGGCTTCAAACTGCCAGAGGGCAGGGTTAGATGGGATATTGGGAAGGAATTCCTGGCTGTGGGTGGGGAGGCCCTGGCCCAGGTTGCCCAGAGAAGCTGTGGCTGCCCCTGGATCCCTGGAAGTGTCCAAGGCCAGGTTGGACGGGGCTTGGAGCAACCTGGGCTGGTGGAAGGTGTCCCTGCCCATGGCAGGGGGTGACACTGGATGGGCTTTAAGGTCCCTTCCAACCCAAACCTTCTGGGATTCTGTGATTCCACTCTGGCCTCTAGAAGGGAAATGACCAAACAGGACTTTCCCTGGTTTTCAGACAAACAAGGTCACTTTGGGAAGCTTCTTTCCAGGCACCTGTTCCATCACAGGAAGAGTGGATCCAACTGCTTCCCGACACCCCCACAAGTGAAAACTTTGCCCAGACACCTCCTGGCTGATCCTATTGCAGGGAGCAGCCCTTTCCCACGCCCACACAGAGCTCAGGCCCAGCAAACCCCGGGGTCAGCACAAGGACAGTCACCTCAGCTCAGGGGCACGTCTGGAGGAGGACGGAGTGGGAATGTCACACTGTCACACCACAGGCTGGGATTAGGGATGGGCCAAGAATTGTTTCCCCTAATCATTTGAAATCAAGGATTTCCACTGAAATTTCTCCTCCAGGTGTAGGCCAGTTTATTCCTGTAAGATTATCCTCTTAATTCTGGTTTAAGTTTGCTGGTTTAACCTGTGTCTCTCCCAGGTGTGCTTTACTGGTCCACATGGCTTTACACAACTCTAAAAAAATACATATATATATATATATATACACCAAATAAACCCTTTGCAAGGAGTTTGCTTGTTCACCAGCTTTCCTCATCCCACATCTTCCCTGTTTTTTATGTCTTTCCTTTTCCTTTCCCCTTTGTCATCAACAACAACAGGCCCACACATTGTAAATTAAGAACGGGCATGAAGAGTTTGGGGTTTTTTCTTGTGGTTTATGTTTTGGTTTTGATTTTTTTTTTACAGATCATGTGTGTAACGACATTTTCTTGTTTCCTTTTGTCTTTTTATTAAAAGGTCGTGGCGAAAAAATACCGAAATTTCGATTTCCCCCCTGAAATGACAGGGATTTCCAGATACTTGAACAATGCATATGCAAGAGATGAATTCACAAACACTTGCCCTGCTGATCAAGAGATTGAATATGCCTACTTGGATGTGGCCAAGAGAATGAAGTAACCAGAAGATGCCTCTGTTCCTGGCTCCTGAGACGGGAAAGCAAAAGCCAGCAGATGTTCTGCGGGGTGATTTGAAAGTTCTGCTATTGGCCAATCCTTTTATAATGATTGTACTGCATTGTTTGCTCCTTCTTCAGTTCTCTGTGTGTATGTTGGTGTGTCTTGCACACACGAGTGTCTCTTGTCCCTTCCAAGGTAAAGGCATCCATCAATATTAAAGATCTGCTGAATTTTGGGAAGCAGTGTAGGTCACACGGTGATAGCAAACCCACAGGCTAAAAGGCTGAATTTGGGGCAGGAACAGCCCTGTTTGTGCCCCACCTTTCACCTGGGGGTGTTGCTGCCCCTGCTCTCTGTCCCACAGTTGTTGCCACACCCCACAGTTAAGGAAAGGTTTCTCTTTGCTCCAGTAGCACCTGACTAAGCCAGGAGAGAGGCCAACCTGCAGTGGGACCACACCTGGTGTCCCCAAAGTTTGTCCTCTGTGCCAGAGACCTGCAGGGCAGGTCGACCAGGAACAACCCCCTTTCACCTGGCACAGTTCCTTTCCTTTGGCGTGGAAAATAAATAAAGAAGAATTCCTGCCTTCTCCTCTCTCAGGGCTGCATAACCCATCCAACTTCCCCCCTGGTGCTCCCAAAGACAGGAATTCTGGCCTGGGGACTATCTGCTCTTAGATATTTGATGAGGGAGGAGGAGGGAGAGACTTGGTTGTCACTGCAGGCAGAAGATGTGGGTGAACATCCGTCCCCAGATACTGATGTGGGATTTGTCATCCTTCCATGGCTCTTATTTGGATTTGGAAAGCAAAGAGGGGCAGAGGGTCTAAGAAAGGAACAATCCTTCTGTATTCCCTGACAGGAGAGGGGAGCCAGGGGGGGTCAGGCTCTGCTCCCAGGGAACAAGGGACAGGAGGAGAGGGAACGGCCTCCAGCTGTGCAAGGGGAGGCTCAGGTTGGACAGGAGGAGGAATTTGTTGCTGGAAAGGGTGGTCAGGCCCTGGCAGGGGCTGCCCAGGGGCTGCGACAACACACGGACTTCATTTAGCAATACGGGTTTTATTTAACAACAAATGTGAGGCAGAGACACAGAGAGAAAAGAGAGAGAGAGCAGGAGATAGTCAGAGGGAACCAGATGAGCTTTAAGGTCCCTCCCAACCCAACCCACTCTGATTCTAGAAGATTTAGGGACTCCAAAAAGCGACATCCACAGCTGCTTCCAGCTGAGCAGGCCCTCGGCAGGGGCACAGGAGTAGAGGGTGCAACACTTTAGTCATCGGGTCACCGAAAGGTTTCCTTCCAGTGGGTTTTTGTGGACAAAAAGCACATGAGAACAGCTAAAAAGGGCCTTCACAGCTCCTGCAGCCACAAAAAGACTCTGAAGGGCTAATCATTGCCGCTTGCCCACGTCAAACCTGCGCTTGCTTCCCAGCAAAGCTTGACTTAAAGGCAACAGTCAGGGTCAGAGTGTGTCTGTGGAGGCTTTGCTGGGCAGTCCTGGGGCAGATGTGTTTGGATCCCAATCATCTGTCAGTCAGGTTCAACGTGCAGGTTTAGTTTGCCTTTAGAGAGGACGCCCCCCTCAACTGGGAACTCTCCTGCTGGAGTTGGGAGCTGAGCAGATCCCTCACAGATCACTGACTGGTACCGGAGTTTTCAAATGCATAAATATCTAGAGTAGATAAAAAATGAAATCTGTACACTCTTTTCTTATGCCTTACAAATTTAAGTAGAAAATATACAAATTCTTAAGTAACTTGAGCAGTGTTCTGTCTTTATTTTCTTTGTCACTTCCTGGACAAATGCATTGCAACTGTGGTAAAATTTTAAGGAATATAAGGCAATATTTAATTATTATAACTAATTATAATAGGTGGTATCATTATATACATATAATATGCTGGAGTATATATTAATAATTACTCTGACATTCAATCATTTAGGTTTTTTAATTATATTTTATTTTTAATTTATTGGTTTTTAATAACTTGTTATAATGATTATTTATTTAAGCCAACTTTCATTTGCTGTGGAATAGTTGTGGATGTGGCAGTCCAGCAGGGAGGTTCTGGGAGCAATATGTCCTGGGTTGGCTCATTCCCAGCAGGATCAGTCAGGAATTGGAATGAGTGTCGCTGGTCGGTGGTGGAGTCGGAAGGTGGTCAGTGGTGTCTCTGGAAGTGTTGGAGAAGCACCTGGATGTGGCCCTTGGGGACATGGTTTCGGGGTGATTCTGGTGGTGCTGGGGGACGGTGGCACTGGATGATCCTGAAGGTCTCTGCCAGCCTTGAGGATTCCCTGTGGTTCCCCACTGAGCCACCTTGGCACGAGCCGTCCCCCATCGGCGTTGGTTTGGCGCTGCCACGTCGGGAACTGTTTGGTCTCGGTGAGATCCACTTGGAGTGATCCCAAGCAGCCAGGGATTGGTCATCCTGCAGGAACATGTCCATGCAAAGCTGCCCCGTGTGGTGCTCTCGGGGCGTGGCGCGGGCTCTGGGCCCGCTGCCCCCTCCGGGAGCGGGGCCTAATCCTGGGGCTGTCCCGGCCTGCAGGCGCGGAACAGCCTGAGCAGAGCCCTGAGCACCTGCCAGAAATGAGAGGGGCCCTGGGTCTGTGTCCCTGCCTCTGCCACCTCCCTGTCCAAGGTGGGAGGAGCTGCAGCCCCTTGGGGGGCCTGGGCCTCTGGCTGGGGAGGGGATGCACAGACTGGCCCCACTGACCATGGAGCACGTGCCCGGCACTCAGTCCACACCTCGCGAGGGACGGGCACCGTGAGCCCCTCTTCCGCAAGGATTCCCAGCCTGTGTTCCGTGCCTTCTCCTTGGGACAGCTCCAGGACACCCAACTCTTCCCACTCGTCCTCCTCGGTGTTGTGGGCGGTCATGCATTCGCAGTCCTCCAGTGAGAGCTCCCTGTCACTGTCATCTCCACGCTGGGACTGCTCTGAGTGTCTCTTAACTTCCCTTTCAGACAAGTCTTGGTCAATGCAATCTTCCTCCTGGGAAAGCTCTTGGCCAATGCCATCTTCCCACTGGTAGCTATCAACTTCTTTCTCATCCTGTTGCTTGCAAAGCTCCAGCTCGTCGTAGAATTTCCAGTTGTTCTCATCCTCAGCAAACGTCTCCTCCTCAGTTTCCTGAACTGCCAGGACTGACCCCCCTTCTCCCTCCACCTGCTGCCCACTGAGGGCCTTGGCTTCCACGTAGGTGAACACAGGGGAGGAGAGGCAGCAGGGGCTGTGTGGGAGAGAGTCCAGGCTCTCTGGCCTGTCTGTGGTACCCGTTGTTAACATTCCTGTAGCCCTGGTTTGTTCCAGGTCTCCCTGTTCCTCCAGCTGCTGGCCAGATCCCTGGATCTCAAGCTCAGCCTTCTTCAGGATCTCAGTGGCGATGAGCTCGGCCATGTCCAGCAGGACCTGGTTGCCCTCTGAGGGGCTCTGTGGGGCAGGGATCGGGCTCTCTGTCCCTGCTGCT